TAGTTCTGCTAGCTGTCCACTAGATGCTGCTAACTGACCCTCTAATGAAACACCGATCAGGGTGAATGGTCAGTGTGAGAGGGGGTGTAGTTCTGCTAGTTGTCCACTAGATGCTGCTAACTGACCCTCTAATGAAACACAGGTCAGGGTGAATGGTCAGTGTGAGAGGGGGTGTAGTTCTGCTAGCTGTCCACTAGATGCTGCTAACTGACCCTCTAATGAAACACAGGTCAGGGTGAATGGTCAGTGTGAGAGGGGGTGTAGTTCTGCTAGCTGTCCACTAGATGCTGCTAACTGACCCTCTAATGAAACACAGGTCAGGGTGAATGGTCAGTGTGAGAGGGGGTGTAGTTCTGCTAGCTGTCCACTAGATGCTGCTAACTGACCCTCTAATGAAACACCGATCAGGGTGAATGGTCAGTGTGAGAGGGGGTGTAGTTCTGCTAGCTGTCCACTAGATGCTGCTAACTGACCCTCTAATGAAACACAGATCAGGGTGAATGGTCAGTGTGAGAGGGGGTGTAGTTCTGCTAGCTGTCCACTAGATGCTGCTAACTGACCCTCTAATGAAACACAGGTCAGGGTGAATGGTCAGTGTGAGAGGGGGTGTAGTTCTGCTAGCTGTCCACTAGATGCTGCTAACTGACCCTCTTATGAAACACAGGTCAGGGTGAATGGTCAGTGTGAGAGGGGGTGTAGTTCTGCTAGCTGTCCACTAGATGCTGCTAACTGACCCTCTAATGAAACACAGGTCAGGGTGAATGGTCAGTGTGAGAGGGGGTGTAGTTCTGCTAGCTGTCCACTAGATGCTGCTAACTGACCCTCTAATGAAACACCGATCAGGGTGAATGGTCAGTGTGAGAGGGGGTGTAGTTCTGCTAGCTGTCCACTAGATGCTGCTAACTGACCCTCTAATGAAACACAGGTCAGGGTGAATGGTCAGTGTGAGAGGGGGTGTAGTTCTGCTAGTTGTCCACTAGATGCTGCTAACTGACCCTCTAATGAAACACAGGTCAGGGTGAATGGTCAGTGTGAGAGGGGGTGTAGTTCTGCTAGCTGTCCACTAGATGCTGCTAACTGACCCTCTAATGAAACACAGGTCAGGGTGAATGGTCAGTGTGAGAGGGGGTGTAGTTCTGCTAGCTGTCCACTAGATGCTGCTAACTGACCCTCTAATGAAACACAGGTCAGGGTGAATGGTCAGTGTGTGCATTGATTAGAAACGTACTTGTGATACGTGTTAATGCACTCTTATGTTTTAATGTTGAACTCTTTTTACATCTGTTTCTAAATCTTTGAAATCCTCATATACATCTTTAAATATTGAAATGACGACTGAGGTTGAAGAGAGAGACACAGGATATCTGATGTCTTCCTCTGGGGGCCCCTGTTGGCTGACGGCCACTAACCAACCACTACGTTGACTTCCATCGGGGGGGCTGTGGGCCATGAAGAAAGGGTTTCGCTGCATGTGGGACAGCTGAGAGCTGAACTGGGCTAAAGGCTCTTCAGTGAAACCAGGTGAGTGTCAGTAATGGAGGATGGCCGTCTCTGAGCCCTTCACACTGCATCCATGCACTTCAGAGTATTAAGAGTTCAACATAAAAACCTCTGAGTCACGAGTTGTAGACCGGTTCTAACACGCCCTGCATTTTCTCTGATGACATGAACTCAGAAAACAATCAGACTGCAGCTCCTTCTACCAGAAGCACTGACAACAGTACATGGAAATCTTTCCAAAACCATTCTGCTTTCACTCAGAGAGAAACCCTACACAATACTATATCATATATATATCATATATATATATATATATATCAATGTGATCCTGATGAAGGAACAGACTCCTGGAGGATCCTCACCTGCTGAACTCTCTTCAGGTCCACAGAAACACGGCTGATCTCTTCCTCCTCAGTCCTGGTTCGGCCTGCTATTCCCTTATATCTCCTTTTATTCAGCAGTTTGAACACCAACTGCCGCAGATGTGACTCACATGAAAGATTAACTCTACTTTACTTATGCTCTGAGTTGCAGAGGAAAGGGGTGGGGTTTGTATGGGCTCAGAACAGTCTCATAATACACACATGCACACAGAAGGATTCAAACTTGTATTTCATGATCCGCAAAAGGATCCATACTTGTGTTTTTCAAAGCACACACAAATGTGTTCGGTTTCATATCCATGTAAATAAAATCCAAATACAGAAAAAAGTTTTACATATGTATTTTTGATCCTCACATATTTGTTTTCCGTTTAAAACCTCTGCACCTGCAAACACAAACCGCTTTCTGTGCGACATGAGGTCGGCCCCCCCTGTTCTCCAGTTCCGGGATATGGAGGGCTCTCAGGGATAACACCACCTCTGAAGCCCATAACCACAGCCTCTCTGCTGTGGCCAACAAGGTGGCGGAGCGGACTCCGCCCTGCCTGTTGATGTAAGCCACTGTGGTGCTGTTGTCGCTCCTGACCAATACATAACTCCCTTGAATTAGGGGCATGAAATGCTGGAGGACTAACAGTACCGCCCGTAGCTCTAGGAGGTTGCTGTGTCGAGACTCTGTTAGAGCCCAGCGCCCACCTATAGCCCTCTTCAGGCAGGTCCCTCCCCATCCTGTTCTGGATGCGTCCGTGAACACTGTGATGTAGGAGGTCACACGTCCCAGTGGAGACCCCCTCCGGAGGTGATCCGGGGACCCCCAAAACCGGAGGTTGCCCTCCACTGAGGGGGGGATGGTCACCAGCCGCCGTTTGTGCCTCTTGGGATCCAAACGCAGGCTGGAGAACCACCTCTGCAGGCGGCGCATATGCAGTAACCCCTGCGGGACCACCATGTGAGCAGCCGCCATGAGACCCAGAGTCTGCATGACAGTTAAAGCTGTCACTGTCGCCCCCTGTCGCAGCCTGTGCACCGCCCGGAGAAGGGACGCACGTCTGCTCTCTGACAGGGTGGCGCCTGCATCGAGCACCACACCCACCTACAACGCCTGTTGGTGAGGTATGGGGGTGCTCTTTTTCCAATTGATCGCAAAGCCTAATTTGGTTAGGTGTGTGATCAATTGTGCTGTGCAAAGCATTGCCTGTTCCCGGGACCCAGCTATGACTATGAGGTCGTCTAGGTCAGGGGTTCCCAAACTTTGCCATGCCAAGGACTCCCATATAGCATTATCGTCTGGCGGGGACCCCCCTGTTGCAATTTGTTTTTTTAAATGAGTACATTATGATGGAAAATATGACATTAATCATACAGCTAAATACATGTTCTTATTATTTATTTGTATTAATAATCAGTTATTCTTCTAAACATTGTTTGTATTTATCTTTTGTTTGTCCTTCATTACATTCATTGTGTCTTCTGTTATAAACATTCTTAGCACAATATTAAACAGTAATATCAACAGCAAACATATTTTTAAATTGATTTCTGCCTTTATAATATTATATAATTTTGAACAGTAATATTAACAATAAACATATTTATATTCATATAAACATCAATATTTGCTGCATCCGTGCTCTCGTGCAGCTGCAGAGCCAAACATCCACTCGCTCTCACTGCTGAGCAGATACTCACTTTCACTCTCAGTAGCGGCAGCTCGATTCTGATTGGCTTGAAGAGCGGTCGTGTGATTTAAAATATATATATTAATAAATACAAAATATTAAAAGATTGGCATCAAAGGACACATAGATTGATAGATATGCAGTTATTAATAACATCTAACAAAGAAAAAAATGTAACTTTAAAAAAATTCCCCTTTCCCTCAAACTTTGCGTGACCCCCCTGGCGGCCCCCGGGGGGTCGGGGCCCCCACTTTGAAAAACACTGGTCTAGGTAAAAGAAAACTCATGCCGTGGGCGCGCAGCGGTTGAAGCTGAATGTGCGTGGGGATAGGGAATAGCCCAACGGCAGCCTGTTGAACTCGTAGGCTATCCCCTGGAAGACACTTTCTGTGCTCTGGAGCAATTTCTACATGAAAGTACGAGTCTTTCAGGTCGATGGTGGTGAACCAATCGCCTGGCTGCACAAGCCCCAGCAACTGTTTCATAGTTAACATAATAATAATAATAATAATAATTTCAATTTATATAGCGCCTTTCACGAAACCCAAGGACGCTTTACAATGGGAAGTAACAAAACAAAAAGTAATAATAAAGATACATAGGCTGAAGAAAACAAAAACAGGAACAGGTTGCTGAGTACTGTATATTAGTTGAGGCCAAAGGCCTGAGTGAACAGATGGGAACATGCGGAACTTCCTGCAGTAAATGTGGCGATTCAGGAGATCTAGAATAGATCTGAATTCCACTGTCTTCCTGAGAACCTGTTTCGCTCTCCGAGAGCTTACAGGAGTGAACCCACAATACTGAACCCCCCAAACACTCGAAGCAGAGGTGGTGGGGATCGGCGCCCGCTATTTAAGCCAGGGCACGAAGGACAGGCAGTGGCGACTCCCTGGAGGAATGATAACTCTTTCTTCTTCTTTCAAACGTCTTATCTCTGCTTCAGATGTTGCCCGCTCACTGAAGAGAAAGGGATGATAGTCAGGAGGCGAGGCCTCTTTTTATACGGTGAGATGCGCGCGCATTCAGGTAGGCCCGCCCCAAGGCCGGCTACGTCTATAGAAATCTCAGTAGGTGAATGCTTGCATAGAAGGTAGTACCCGTAGAGTCCAGTAGAGGGCGGAGCCTGTGAGAGATATAACTAAGAGCCTGATGCTTGAGATATGAGACTGTGTGAGGGCCTGGGACCAGCCGCCATGAGGGGAAGAGACTATCTCGTGAGACTGCTGTGTGAAGGCCTTGATCTGAGTTAAATGCAACGCTCTATCAACACCTGCAATTATTGATCACTATAATGTCTGTCATTATTTATCTGGATTCAAACTCCCTCTGGAGATACACACACACACACACACACACACACACACACACACACACACACACACACACACACACACACACACACACACACACACACAACACTACAGGAGAGGGAAGATGGTTTTCATTTTATTTTATTGACCGTCAAAGATAAAAATCTGACTGAGAAACAAACACTCTTTTTCTCTTCGTATTAAAAACATTTACAAATCTACACAACCAGTTTCAGTTTGACCCCCTGACACCGGTCTGTGCTGTCGCCTCATGATGACGAGCTGCTCTTCCTCCTCCTCTTCTTCCTCACTGAGCATCCTCTTCCTCCTCCTCCTCCATGATGGCCTGCAGAGCCTCCAGTCCCTCCACAGAAACCGTCAGCGTGCCCACCTCCTCCCTCTCCATGTCCAACACTGCACACACACACACACACACACACACACACACACACACACACACACACACACACACACACACACACACACACACACACACACACCACAGTTAAGGCCTCGTGTAGGTGACTTTTGGACATATGTTTCTGTTTATTTAGGTATTTTCATTTGGAAATCTGCGAGAATTCTCCTCAGAGACAGTCACTGTGTGTGTGTGTGTGTGTGTGTGTGTGTGTGTGTGTGTGTACCCTGCAGCCTCCTCTCCAGCAGCTCGCTGTGTGTCTCTGTGATTTCGGGGATCCTGATGAAGGCGACCCCGACCTCCTCACACTCTCTCTCCTGTTCCTCCTCCTCCGGGGGCTCGCTCACCACCGTGAACCGGATCCTACACACACACACACACACACACACACACACACACACACACACACACACACACACACACACACACACACACACACACACACACACACACACACACACACACACACACACACACACACACACACACACACACACACACACACACACACACACACACACACACACAGGTGGAGGTGAGAGCATGCCTCACTGGTGTCCTGTCGGAGCAGCCGTGGACTCTCCTTGGAGGTCGATGAAGTGTCTTCTCACCTCTCCATGTGGGGCAGTCTTCCCTTCAGGACCCCCCTCAGCAGGTGCCGCCTCAACCTGTGCTGCTGGGCATCCACAGGAACCACTGCAACAGGAAACACACACTGAACACAACGGATGTAACGATACCAAAAACTCACGGTACGATAATATCACGATAAAAAGTCCACGGTACGATGTTTATCGCGATATTGAAAAATAAAAATGTTTTTACTTGAATTTCTTTTCTTTATTAAATAATACATCTTATTTGTACAGCATTTTAGTAGGATAGTAGTATTTTAAAGTGTCAACAATATAATAATCAGACCCTGCAATAGAATAAATCAAGTTTCACTTTAGTTTTTCAAGTAACTCAACTCTAACTCGCTCACTCTCTCACTCAGCATCGTCCCATTGTAAAGCGTCCTTGGGACTTCCGGTTACGTAATGCCAAGAGCAGACGCTTGATTTCCCAGCTCCGTCAGAGCCGTGATTAAAATAGCCAAAACCCAAGAGATATCCGACAAATGAACACTAGACTGAATGATATAATCCCCAACTCAATGAACTCAAAGAGAGAAACCAAGAAGAACGCTAAAACAGGAAAACAGGAGGAAATGAAAGCTAGCCAAAAGCAGCTAATGCTAACGGACAGCATGCGTAGCGTGAGCAGCGAACCAACAGGTGGTTTGATTGATTGATTGAAAAGTGTATTAACAGCTTGTATATTGGGTACAGTACAGTACAGCTCAAAACATACAATTGTTAAGGGGATGCAGACCAGAGAAAGACTTTCGTCTTGTTTACATCAGGGTCCCCCATTTCCAATTCATCATATCATTTAAGACATAATGATGGTGAATCAGAGAGGCTAGCGGACACTTTAAGGACACTAAGCTGTCACTTAACAGACTGGAATCGTCCATGACTGAGATAACACAGCAAATAGTGCAACGGCAGAGAATAGAGTGAGCGCCACGGAAGACCGAAGCATACGTCAAGAAAGGGCTGTGGGCTACTTACTCAGGAGAGAGGCTAGTTTAGCAGCAACATGCGATGACATGGAAAACCGACTTCGGCGCAATAATATCAGGATGTACGGAATAAGAGAGGGAGCTTAGAAGGACGACATGATGTTGTTCATAACCGCACTCTTACACACGAAGCTAAAGGTACCAGGAGATACGGAAATTAAACTCGAAAGAGCGCACATAGCCCTTGCTCCTAAGCCAAGAGTCATCAGCACCGCCGAGATCCATCATTGTGCGATTCCTGGATTTCAGTGTCAAACAAATAATACTGCAACAGGCATGGAAACAACGAGACATTGAATTCGAGGGCCGGAGGATTACTTTGATCAGGATTACTCCCCGGACTTGCAAGGAAAAAGGAAGAGAGTACGAGAGGTGATTAAGCAACTGAAGGAGAAGAATATCAAGGCTCACCATACCCTGCACAGCTGAAGCTTTTCCTGGCCACGGGAGTGAGGGTGTTCCCCACACTGGAAGAGGCACAATCGACTCTGAAAGAGCTTGGAGTCGACGCAAGAATTGAGGAACGAGACATACTGGAGAGGGAGCTGATGCAGGACAAGTGGTCGACCCAGGAGAATCGGAGGAGGAACCAGATGCAATTGAACCCCACAGACGTGAGAGCTATCATCCGCGGAGACAACGGAATGAAGGGTCGTGAGTAAAGTGATAATTCGCGAATACAGGGGATATAACATAGACTGTGGGGTTGATTGACTCATGATAATAATTTGTCGGACATGGATAATTTGATAAAAGAAGTGAAGATGGCAAGGATAATATGTGTATATGAATAGGGTCTGAACGGGGAGTGGGGGAGCAAACACCGCTAACTCTGGCTAGAGTATTGCAGTCAAGGCGACGAGGACTACAAACCAGGGCAACCTGGTGGACCGTTGCATGCGCACTTTGTGCGTTTTTCCCAGAGAGCTGGAGCTCTCTGCCCAATTCATATGGGGGGTGGGATGCCTTTTTGTTTTCTACTGGAGGCATTCTACCAGGCACTTGGAAGTTCATCATTGTTTATTGCAAAGTGTAATACTGTTCTATCATTTATTGATTATTATGGTTCAATGTTGTTTGGCAAACATACGTATAAGGAGGATAAGCACCTGGAGTTCAATTTACAGTTGGCAAAACACTGAAGTGGGGTTTGAAACAAAGAACAAGACACAATGCAGGTTTAATAGTTCATTGAAATTACTGGTCATAATATGAATACATTGAATTTCATTAGTTATAATGTAAAAGGAATCAACCACCCCATAAAGAGGAAGACAATTATCAGTCAATTGAAGAGATTGAATTGCTCAGTAGCACTACTGCAGGAGCCCCATCTGAGTGCAGAGGAACACAAAACGCTGAGAAGGGAATGGGCGGGGCAAGTTTTCAGTGCCTCATGTGGAGGATAAAAAGAGGAGTAGCTATTTTGTGTCATAAGTCGTTATGTTTTGTTCCAGAGAAAGTACATGAAGACAAAAAGGGACGCCATGTTTTGGTGGTGGGGACAATTGGGAATGTAAATATAACTATTTTGAATTGATATGCTCCAAATGAAGAAGATCCCGGCTTCTTTAAAGAAATTGCAACACTTCTAGCAGAAAACAGGGAATACTCATAGTCGGGGGGATTTGAACTGTGTTGTGAACCAAAGAATAGACAAACAACCACCTGCACTAGGACCACAAACACGGAAAGCTAAAGCATTATGTAACATGATAGAGGAACTTGGGCTCACAGATATATGGCGCTTACAACATCCTAGAGACAGGGACTTTACATTTATTTCAAAAGTGCACAAGAGTTACTCCCGAATTGACTTCTTCTGTGTCTCCAAACAGGACGCCCATAAAGTCACAGATTGTCACATTGAACCCACTACCATCTCAGATCATGGACCAGTGGTAATGGCAATCAAGTTGGAAGAGGAGAAGTATTATAGATACTGGAGGTTGAATGTTTCATTATTAAATAACCCAGAGGTGGTACAAAGTATAAGAGAAGAATTTAATAATGATCTGGAACATAATGATAATGGAGAAGTTTCGGTATCGACAGTATGGGAGGCAGCTAAAGCAGTTCTTAGGGGACAAATAATTGCCCTCTCCTCAAGATTGAAAAAAAGAACGTGAAAAGAAACAATTCGATTTAGAAACCTGCATACGAGAGTTGGAGCGAGAACACATAAGGACACAAAAAGAATCCACCCTGAAAGCTCTTGACCGGTGCAGGCGAGATTTGAGTGACTTATTGACATATAAAGCCGAAGGTGCTTTACGATTTGCTAATCAGAGATATTATGAATCAGGAAACCGAGCGAGTCGGCTATTAGCATTTCAGTAAAACACAAGCAACCAGGATAGTTCCGAAGATTATGAGTCCCTCCAAGAGAAAAATGGTGTCTCACCCTAAAGAAGTAGCGGAAGCCTTTTCTATTTATTATAAAGCACTCTGTGACTCGCCAGTGGTAGAGGATAAAGCAGGAAACATTAGAACCTTCCTTGGTGGATTGAATTTACCTAAATGAAGTGAACAAGAGTCAAAAACGATGGTGGAACCAATCAGAAAGGAGGAAATTGAAGAAGTTATAAAGAAGTTGAAAAACAATAAATCACCAGGGATAGACGGGGGAGTTTTACAAATATGTTAAGAAGGAGATCACACCACTTTTGCAAAGAGTATTTCATTATGCTCTTAAGGAGAACCAACCTCCCAAAACATGGTCTGAAGCAATAATATCTGTGATTCCCCAGGAGGGGAAAGACCCTACAAATTGTGCGTCGTTCAGACCTATAAGTTTGCTCTGCAGTGACGGAAAAATGTTGAGTACAATAATAGCTCAAAGAATCCAGAAATATATCACTAAATGAATGAATCCAGATCAGGCAGGATTCATACCTGGAAGACAGGGAAAGAATAACATTAGACGAACCCTAAATATAATGTCAATGGCACGGAAAAGTAAGCGGTCTTCAATGCTTCTCAGCTTAGATGCTGAGAAAGCATTTGATAGGATAGACTGGCTATATTTGGAATGTACACTAGAGAAGATGGGATTTCATTCAGATTTGATTAATTGGGTTAGAGTTCTGAATTCCGATCCGGTGTCAAGGGTCCGCGTTAATGGTTACACATCTGAACAATTTAAATTATACAGAGGGACCAGACAAGGATCGCCTCTCTCCCCACTGCTATTTGCGATTAGTAGAGAGCCACTGGCAGAAATGATAAGGGAGAACCCTAGAATCCATGGAATATCAGAGGGGGAGGAACACACAAACTATCGTTGTACGTGGACGATGTGATATTATATATTAGTGATCCTCTAACCTCAATTCCAACCCGATGGAGTTGCCTGGATGAGTTTGGTGAAGTGTCAGCGTATAAAGTTAATGAATCCAAATCGGAGGCTATGATGTTAGTGGGTGATTGGCCATCTCAATTAGACAAGGAGGTTTCATTTAAATGGTCAGCACAAGGCTTCAGGTATCTGGGAATCATTATCACTCCAAAAACTTCACAGTTATACAAGGCTAATTATGGTGGATTAATAACGGAAATAAAATTAGATATGGCTAGACAGGAGACTCTCCCACATTCATTATTTGGTAGAATTGACACTGTAAGAATGAATATACTTCCCAGATGATTATATCTGTTTCAGTCTCTCCCCCTCTATGTTCCAGTCTCGGCCTTTAAAATGACAGACAAGTTGATTTCCACATTTATATGGCCAAAGAAGAAGCCTAGGATTAAATTGAAGCTGTTAACATATTCAAAGAATGAAGGAGGCCTCAATCTTCCCAATTTGAAGTTGTACTACTGGCAGCACAACTGTGTGGTATGGTTGAATGGCTTACACAAAATGGGGAGACGACTTGGTTGGAATTAGAGAAGGAATCATGCCCATTAAGGCCTCTTGAGATGCTGCCATTTCTGGGACAAAAGAGCTGGAGGAAAGTTGGGGCAGAGAATGAATGGATGAAGTGCACTCAAAAAGTGTGGTCAATAGTGAGAGAAGAAGTGGAAGCACCGCTAACAATTTCAAGGGTGATGGAGATCGCAAAGAATG